GTTGAATACCAACTACAATAACATCATTTGGTGCACAATGTTTCATTGATTGTAAATCATTAACGTCAATTGACATATCAACATCAGTTAAAATAATAGGAGAAGAATGTTTTAGAAGATGTACATCATTAAAATCAATTAATGTACCATCATCAATTAGTGTATTAGGAAAAGGTTGTTTTTGTGGATGTTCATCATTAACATCAATTAATATACCATCATCAATTAATGAAATAGGAAATGGATGTTTTTATAAATGTTCATCATTAAAATCAATTAATATACCAACAAGTATTAGTAAAATAGGATATGGTTGTTTTTATGAATGTTCGTCGTTGACATCGATTGATATACCATTATCAGTTAAGATATTAGGAGATGGATGTTTTTGTGGATGTAAATCATTAAAATCAATTAATATACCAACAAACATCAGTGAGTTCAGAAAAAATTGTTTTAATATGTGTGTGTCATTAACATCAATTAACATACCAAGTATATTAACATCAATTGGTGCACAATGTTTCATTGATTGTAAATCATTAACAAGAATTGACATACCAACATCAGTTAAAACAATAGGAGAAGAATGTTTTAGAAGATGTACATCATTAAAATCAATTGATGTTCCATCATCAATTAGTGTATTAGGAAAAAGTTGTTTTAGTGGATGTTGTTCATTAACATCAATTACTATTCCGTCGTCAATTAGTATATTAGGTCCTCACTGTTTAGACTCATGTAAATCGTTAAGTAATATTGAATTACCAACAAGTATTAAAGGAATAGGAGTTAGTTGTTTTATTTTATGTTCATCATTAAAATCAATTAACATACCTACATCAATTAGTAAAATAGGATATTATTGTTTTAAAAAATGTTTTTTATTAACAAAAATTAATTTACCAACAACAATTAGTGAATTAGGAAATTATTGTTTTAATGAATGTAAATCATTAAAATCAATTAACATACCAACATCAGTTAAGATATTAGGAGATGGATGTTTTAAAGATTGTAAAACATTAACTAGAATTAATATACCAATAAGTGTTAATGAAATAGGAAGTGAATGTTTTTGTAGATGTTTATCATTAAATTATATCAATATTCCAAGAAAAGTTAAAGAACTAAGAAAGGATTGTTTCAAAGGATGTTCATCATTAAGTGATATTGATATTCCAACAACAATAAGTGAAATAGAAGAAGGATGTTTTGATGAGTGTCCATCAGAATTAAAAAAGAATAAAGTATTAAAGAAAATGTATTATCGAAAATATTATGATGATGATTGTATCATTGTTTAATTGAAAAGATAAATTGAATAAATTTAAAGTTTTATAATATAAAAGAAACAACAAGAAAGAAATAATATTAACAAATAAAAAATATAAGAATAATAAAGAGAAAATAATAAGAT